AGCTGAGGGGGGCGGGGGGCGGGGGGGTGGGTGGTCACTGACCTCCAGGAGTGCGGGAGGCGGAGGCTGTCCGGAAAGCTGCTGTGTGGGTGGAGTAACGGGGCCTGGATTTGCCTGAACCAAAGGGCCCCCGTGGGTACTGTCAACAGCATTGGAACTTCACTCCCAGAGGCTCGGGGACATGGAGGCCTTGGGTAAGCAGAAGCTGTGTGTTGGCAAATGAGCCCTGGGACTCCCTGGTTGGGGATAATAGTGACAAGGTGTGGAGTCACATTTTGAGCAAATAGCATCTGTCAGCCTCGTTGCCTCTTACCCGCACCACTGGCATGGCCCCTGGTTCGCAGCCACCCGCTGGTCAAGGCGGCCAGGCCACGGAACCAGGTCCATCACTCTAAGGCTCCGATTTCCATGGCTGCAGCCCTTGCTCAGTATCCTTCTCTGGTTCTCATGGCCCCAGAAAAAGGATGAACCCCAAGTCCTGTGGCCCAGCTCTCTCTGTTACCTGGTTCCAACTTGCTTTTCTGAACTTTCTCTCTGCCACTGACATGCCCTCCCCTAGTCTGCACATCGCATCTCTCATCTCTGCCAGCCCCTGTGCCTCCTCCGGAGCCTTCCTCTTTCATCCCTAGCTGACCACAGGCAGCTTTGCTGCATTGTCAACCTGTGCTGAGGTTTGCATGTTGAGGCCTGATTAGGGCCTCCAGACTCTGGGCTCCAGGAGGGCCAGGCCATGTCACATTCATCCCTGAGTTCCCAGGGCCTGGCCAGTGACTCAGCTGCCCTCAACCTCTTAAAGAGTCATTTCCCACCCTGGCAGGGGGGCTCAGTTGGTTGGAGCATCATCCATACACCAAAAGATGGTGGGTTCAGTTCCCAGTCAGGGCATATACCTGGGTTTCGGATTTGATCCCCAGTTGGGGCACATGCAGGAGACAACAGATCAATGTTCCCCTCTCTTCGTCTCTCCCTTCCTCTCTCTGAAAATCACTAAAATCATGTCCCCAGGTGAGGATTAAAAAGAGAGAAAGGAGAAACCAAGATGGCGGCATAAGGTATAGACCTGTGCGTGTTGCCTCCCACGACAACATTAAAACTACCAACTATAAGACAAAGCAGCTGTCATCCAGAACCACGGGAAAGATGGCCCAGTGGAAGTTCTACAACTGGAAGGAAAGAAAGAAGCGCATTGAGACTGAGTAGGAGGTGCAGAGGCGCCAAGAACAGAGGTACGGAGGCGCGCGCCAGGTGGGCTGCAACTGGATGCGCGTTTTTTGTTTTTTTTTTTAATATATTTTATTGATTTTTTACAGAGAGGAAGGGAGAGGGATAGAGAGTTAGAAACATCGATGAAAGAGAAACATCGATCAGCTGCCTCCTGCACACCCCCCATGGGATGTGCCTGCAACCAAGGTACATGCCCTTGACCAGAATCAAACCTGGGACCCTTCAGTCCACAGGCTGATGCTCTATCCACTGAGCCAAACTGGTCAGGGCATGATGCAAGTTTTTTTTCAATCGGAAGGGAATACAAGCTCTCGAATCCACTGAGCCTGTTTGGGGCGGGATTCTGAGGTCCCAGACTCCTACGGGGAGAGGCTGGACTGTCTTGCAGCGGGTCGGAGAGCAAAGGTGGCTTTCTCGCAGAGCTGCTCACGGGGATGCAGAGACGCGGAGACGCAACGCAGAGACGCGGAGAGGCGAGGAGTTGCAG